CTGTTATGGGTGAAATCCAATCAGACGTCTTAAAAAATCGCTAATTTATTATCTCTAATGTTCCAGTAAATCTACTACGAAAACTCCTTTCGTAATATTCATGTAATGGTAATGTTTGGTGCTTTTAGCATTTTCTGAGTTTAAAATTTGTATAATTAGCACGCTCGAGGCGACGTTCAAATTAGCAAGACAACGTCGTTTTTCATACTACTTAAGAGATTTGCACTGAAAATTATAAGCCATTTTGCAAACACCTCAGACAAAGAATCTGATACCGAGGAGAAACTTTATTCAATATTTGTTGTCGCTGGTCTATCGCAGACTTCCTTCCATTCAACAAAGAAAGGATTTATGAACACGGGAAGAGGCGAATGTCAGCTTCCATTAGTGTTATTCATATGGATAACATGGCTTCGAATACATAATGAACTGCTGGAAATTTATATTTTCTACAAAATATCAATTTCGGATAAAATTTCAATTCTCAACCGCATAAGTTATTATCATTGAAACGCTGTACCTTGACACCTCTTAGATTATTTTCAGGTTTTAGTTTCTTATTTCCCATTATTTTTATTTTAAATACTATGAAATATTAGACAATTAGTCTAGATTTACACATTTTTGTTTGAAACTCAAGTCTTTAATTAGGTACTTCGAATAGACAAAAAGCAGCTTAATTCCTAGTTCATATTTCATATGTGAGGTGATACTACGGCTTGTCGGAATATAAATTATAAATTATTTTAACATACATGTGCCCAGGGTTTCAATACACATTATTGAAACCTTATTTTCATACTTTCTTGCTTTTCTTTCAGATCTGGGTCAAAGAGTGTCAAAAAAGAGATGTTTTCAGCACTTTTTTTAATCTAAACCATGAGAAAGCAAGTTTTTGGGATTTGACCATCACCAAAGCAATGCGTAAACAATGACATGATTTTGCTTTTTATTGACTACAATAATCTTGTTTATTTACCACTAGCAAAACTATAAAATATCAAAAACAAGCAAAAATCTGTATGATTAGGTACACAGTAATTTTATTTATTTAAGAGAGAACATATTTTCTTGCTTTTTTTTAGATTTCAGTCAAAGAGTATCAGAAAAGAAATATTTTCATTCTGCAATCTAAACCATAAGAAAAGACAGTGTTTGAGATTAGACCACCAAAGAACTGCGTAAATAACGGCCTAACTTTGCTTTCTATTGACAAATAATTTTGCTTATTTACCACTGGCAAAATTAATATTATTTTAAAAAGTATTTTTTTCTTCAACAAAAACAAACTAAAACCTACATATTTAAACAGTAATTTTTACAAGAAGGCACATATTTTCTTGTTTTTCATTTCAGATCTAGGTTAAAAAATGAAAGAAAAGAGATATTTTCAGCACTTCTGCATTCTAAAACCATAAAAAAACGTTTTTGGGTTTTGATCACTATTGCGTAAATAATTGCCTGATTTTTTTATTATTTTTATTATTTATCACTAACAAAACTGTGAATGTATTATTTCAGAAAGTGTTCAACAAAAAAATTGAATGTTTAGACAGTAATTTTTTGAAAAGAAAATTGTGCTTTTCCTATGATTTGTTGTCTGAAAGAATATTCAAATTTATTGCTTTTATCTGAAAGATATGTGACCTCGTATAAGCTCAGTGGTCAACAAACTGCTCACTACTGTCGTCTTTATGAAAAATGTAGTAGTAAAGTACTTTGTTTTCAATTATAAAAGCTCAGTTCTGATTATTGAAAATTAATGAACAATTTTGTAAGCAAAGTCCTCCAACTCCACATGTTCACATGAAGATGAATCAACGGCACGCCTGAAACCTGAAACTAGAGCCTTCGGTGATGTATCGCATCGTGTTTTTGGCACGTCAACTAAAACCCATTTGCCATCCCTGGTCTAATCTCTTGTTGGAGCTAGTCGAGCTAAGCTTAGTTGCCATTATAAATATCTCAGTAGATTTAGCTCGATTTCGCGAAATGAGGCTGCGAACTGAAGAATCTCCAAATTCTGTTTACATTTTTGTCGTTGGATGGTTATTTTTATTGTTTTAGGGCGATTTTACGTCTCTACGATCCAATTATGCAATGATCGTTGTCTAAAAATGGTCAAATTGTAATATTTTGCTCGGAGCTAGGAGGTGTTTATATTAAACGTGATCGTTGTGAAACTGCTTTGGTGTTTGAATTTTTAAGGCATGATTACGATAACTAGATGTGTTTATGGCCTGTCGGGCATTTTCAGGAATCGATAATCGCGAATACCTCGCAGTGTTGACAAAACAAACAAGGAAGCTGGGAGGTGATTGCAGCGATCTGGCAATTAAAATCTTAGCTCCCGAATTGTTTGGATAGTGACACAAACCACGGTTTAGTATCTTTTTTTCGTACAAAAATGTGTAAAAAAATAATTTGTGTTTATTTATGTTTGCGAAACATGGGAGGATATTGCTTATTAGCCACTGAAAGGCGCACAAACTGTTGAAATGTGTTCTCTATCTTATTAATATCTCAACAGGTAAATAAATTTAAGGTGGAAAATTTTTCGAATACCGAATGTTTACAAAGGAATGTTACGCTCGTGGCATTTTGCAGTCTATACTTTGCCGCTCCATGCGTATGCATACAATTAATTTCCATAATCTTTTGTAAATGTTAAGTTGACAGCGTCAATATGTCAACAACTTTACAGTTTAAGCTTTAATGTTTCGCAGAAAAATATGATTAAATTACTGAAAAGTGAGGTTGGCAGTAATAAAGTTAAACTTACTTAAAACTACAAGTTTTTTGTCTGTCGAATTTATGAAATTTTCTATTGGATAAACCGTCCAAGGCGAAAATACAAAATAAACACACGAAATGTGATGAGATCATTTTCCTGCGTTTGGCTTCACTTCTGCCTTATACCAACATGATTTATAACCAAAATATCAGAAAATTTGTGGTTATGAAATTTTGCTTTAAAAATACAAGAAAGCCAACCATGAATGTCTTTGGTAAATTAATAAAATTATAAATTAATCTGTAAACGAAAAAATTAAGAAATTAAAATAATCGAATTTGTGTTAAAAAAAATAAAAAACAGACGAGGAAGTTTTTAAAAATAGTTTTCGAAAATGTTATTCTAACGCAGTTTTCGAGATTTCGATCTATTTTGTTTCCAAGCGCTAATATAAAAGTACATAATACGATTTTTTGAGTGCCCGAAAAACACACTTTGAAATCAATGGTAAAAATTGTCTGGGTCGGTAATTTTTTTAGTAGTATTGATTTTTTTATTTTAAAGAACTCTTCTCTAACCGTAACTAAAACTTCCTTCGACTTCGGGTTTTCACTGCCAAAAGCAGATTTTGACGTTTTTTTTTGGTTTTTCGACTTACGATTTTAAAAAAGCACACGTATTTTTCGTATTTTTTAAGCGGCAATTACGAGTGGCCTAAAGCAAAAACTTTTACTTAATTCAGGAATGTTCAGGGTTAAAATGCACCCCGGTAAGACAACTTTTTTTAATAAAATGAAAACGGTACTAATATAAAAAAAAATATCGAAAGTTTGGAAAAAATAGAAAAATCGTAAATTTTAGAAGCGGGCCAAATTACGTTTTATGATGTTTACCAGATACTCAGAAAAATTCACAAAACATAGTTACATAAAACAATTTTTTTTTAAATAATTGATAAAAAATAGTCATTAAACCTGACATAATTAATTAAGAGACTCTAACACAAATCGTTTTTGAAATATCGAGCTATTTTGAGAGTTTCCGGGCGCTAATTTAGGAGTTGTACAAAACTCGATTTTTGAGAGCCGGAAAATTAACACAAACATTTTGAAATCAATGATATTCTATGTAAAATTAAAAAAAAAAACGTAAATTTTAGAAGCGGGCGTTTTTGGATGTCTAGCGCCACCAGATATTCAGAAAAATGCACTAAACATAGTTAGATAAAAAAAATTAATAATTGATAGAAAATAGTCATTAAACCTGACACCACTAGTTATGAGACTAACACAAATCGTTTTTGGGATTTCGAGATATTTTGAGAGTTTTCGGGCGCTAATTTAGGAGTTGTACATAACACTCGATTTCTGAGAGCTATGTAAAGTCGTCCCTCCGGACGTCTGCGTAAACTTTTAATTTTTTAATTCAAAGCTCATGTTTTGTTTTTTTTTTTTAATAAAGAATCGAAAATTTTTAAACGTTTTTAGACGAAACTGAAACTCCAATCGACTTCGGATTTTTACTGCCAAAAACAAATTTGCCAATTTGGCCGTTTTTACTTTTTTTTTGTAGGGCTCACAATTTTTCTAGAAAACACAAATTTTTGACATTCAAGCGACAATGTCGTAAAACATTTACTATTTTCTCTTATTTCAGCGATCTTCAGGATAACTATGCACCCAATGATCTTTTTTTAATAAAATGGAAAAAGAAAAGTGCTTGGCAAAGGTACCAAACATACAATGGTTACGACTGATAGTTTGAGTTAGGTACTGAGTAATTTAGGTACCGGAACTCAATTAAAATTTCTAAAAAGATCCGAAAAATTGAAAATTTTAGAAGCGGACAAAATTACGTTTTTTTGCATTACTAGCGCCCCTACCTAAAAAGTGCATAAAACATTTTCAGAAAAAATTGTAAAAAATTGAATTTATGAATTATTGAAAAAAAAAATGGTCAAACAACCAGTTAAAATGCTCTACGAAGCGTAGTTACCGAAATGTCGGTGAGGATTTCCGGTAAAACGTTCGATTCCAGTCAAGTACTCAGATAAAAATAAATTTAGCGTAAACCCCAACAGTTGTCTCCCGGCCCGAACACGATCCATTTTCGGAAATTAGAGCTCTCTGAGACGTTTACACATATCGGTGGCACAAAATTCACCCTCCGGAATCGGTAAAAAATTCCGGTGTCGAAGATGTTCCAATTAAAATATCGTTTGCAGGAGTGCTGCTCGTGTGCCGTTAATCGTCGGTCCATAAGCGTTGCGCATCCGGTGGTCGACGGAATAAGAGGCAACGAAGACCCGGAGCTCGTCGTTGGACACGAGAATCGCGCGTGCCTTTGGGGGCGTACCACGAATTGTGTGGACTTAACCGCGCGTCAGTTTCTTTAGTGTCACCCGGTCTTTGAGTGGTAAAACACCGACAGAGGCCCTAGCGTTGATTTTCAGTGCCGAGTGCGCGATGATGACATTAATATGTGGGTAATGTTGTGTGGGACAGCGAGATAACAATGCGTTTATGGAAAGAGGATTTTCATTGCTCGCAACACATCGACCACTTTACGAGTAGGTAATTTTACAGCCCCAAGTTTTATTGTAAAATAAAACCGCAATATTTGGCGACGATTTAATAGATTTTTTATTGGGCGTATTTGAGCTCACAATATTTTTACTTAAGAACATCACGTCTCTCCGATATTTCACACAAATCGCATCTAATATCTCAAAAAAATTCACTTAGGCCTGACACGGTGAAATTCTACTTGTTTACAACACTCATCGACTTACAGACCTTGATATATATTTCTTAAAATATCTACCTACTTAAATTTTACAAACAAGAAAAATATTATTCTTACATTTGCATTGAAAGTAAAAGCCAATTCGAGCAATTTATTTTAGTTCGGGTAGCAAATAAATTTTTTCAGTTCTTTTTGCTCTAATAACAATAACAATAAATCGGCCACAAATGTGTCCCTCGAGATAATAATGCTTCGAAAGCATTTTCGAATTAATATCAACATTGTTCATCTTAACTAGTTTAAATCTGACACAGGATTAAGTGTGTAATTCTGGGCGTCAAGGGGATTATCCTTGTCCAATAACAGGAAAAAAACTTGTAGTAAATCTCAATTTTGAGTTATTTTGATTTAACTAAATCATACTTAAAATTCTTCGCCCACATGTGTGACGGAATTTTTGTTTTCAGAGAAGTGTAATTAAAATTAATAACTGTGTTAATGCAATGTTGCAACAAATTCATGCAACTGTTGCATCATAATTCTTTCAAAATTAAATTAAACAAAGATTGTCGTGAATAAAAAAATGATAGACGAGTTTTTATTATATCTTAAAATCCCTGTTGTAAAACACGAACATTTATGTTGAAGACGAAATTGGAAAGCGCCATATCTTGGAATTGATTGTTTTAATCTCCGGTATGTTAATGCACTTCCGTAATTTAAAATCCCCATTTTGGATTATTTACAAGCTCCGAAAAAGTGTAGCGATTGAGTCGAAGTTTTCCCATGTTAAAATCTTTGAACTACTTTCGATAAAATTTTTATTGATGGTAATTTTATACAAAGCGATTCAAACCAACTACTCTCCAATTCCACCGAGGGAGAAATAATTTTCAATATTTAATGCGCCGGATTTGTTCTTAAATCACTCTTTTTTTGTAAATTAGATGCACTTGAGGCAACTTTATAACTTTGTTAATTGCGCGGTCACGCTCTTATGTCTAATTTCTCACTGAATCAAAACAAGTGGATTCCCGAAGTTTCAATTATTCAATTATAAAAACATTTTCAGACACGCACCCATTTTTGAGAATATTATAATCACGAGTTCAGTCGTTCGAGCAATTAAGTGAATCAAACAAACAGTTTTATTACTCTAGATGGCTTCAAACTTTATGGATTGTCTTAAAAACTCTTCTTTACTACCGAATTTCCATACCAGAATGCAAAAATTATTGAAATTATTTTTCAGCAGTAGGATTTTTATTTATTTACGTAAGAAACTTTCAGCAGTGGTTTCAGGAATCGTCGACAGATGTTTAAGCCCGAGTCAATTATTGTTCTTCGGTTCTAAAAATATTACTCACCTGTAGGTTTTTTATTGTAATCTAAATTGTGGCGAAGTTGTGACTGTAAATTCTGCTGTACAAGTAAACAGTTTTTGTGTATTAATTAGTTCTGTACTAAACACCGATCTTTTCACTTCAACTAATTGTATAAATATGCTTTGAAGTTGGCAATTTACGATTCCAAATATCAGCTATTAAATTAGAAGAAATTACGCAACATGTGGGGTTCAGAAAATGTTTTTTATTAAATTTCAAGTTAATTTGTCGAAGCGGTTAAACGATTACACATTTTTTCGCGACCCGTGTCACAACGGTTTTTTAATATAAACCGAGAATTATCGGGGGAATTTCGATGCGAAATTAAACCCTTTTAGAATTCTCAAATTAAAAAGAAAAAAAGGGTAGAGATTTTGGTAATTATTTATTTAGTTGAATTAGAAAAAGGCAAGCGAATTTTATGTAAATACGGCCATAAATCGGGAAATCAACATTTTTATCGTCTCTTAACTTTGTAAACAATTTTTTGAAATTTCAGGAAACGAGCATCAGTAAGGGTTGCAGCGATCGTTATCAATTTGTGGTGTGTTAGAGTCTAGACTGCATAATATAACGACCGTTGAATAAAATTAGATGTAATCCGCATTCCTAATAGTTCTTTTCTTTCCCAGACGTAGCAACTAGTTTTTTCAAATCGCTTTAGAAAGATTTTTATTCCGATTTATTCCCGAGGAAGAACGACAATAATTGTGAGTTTTAATTGGCCATTCTTTACCTGAATGCCTTCAATTAATTGCAAGTTTTTCGGGTTATTGACTGGGACTAATTAATTTTCGATTAATTTTCGATTCATTACTTTCTTATATTCAAGGTACGGTTTATCCTCTGAATTGTTATCTTTGGTGATTTTCTTGGGTTTGCTACAGCCATTCAATCCCATATCGGGGCTATTACGCCAAAACCAAAAAGCTTCGGAATTTGAGTCAATAACACGGTTTTAGTTTTTTCGTGTGTCAGTCCGCTTTCGGAAACGCTATTATTAGCGTTTTCGATAATGAAGGACTAAATATAAAGTATTTCTAAGGCTCAAGTCGTGTTCCACTGACCCCGAATATTTTTCTACTATTTACATGAGGATTTTAATTATATGATAAAGCAATCATATGTAATTATCCCCATCTCTCAATACCTCAGATTTATGGTGATTGATTTTCTCCACCAGTTTCAGGCTTGGTGTTGGTTATTTATTACCTTTTGCAATACAATGGAGTCGCTCCGGACAACTATTACACGAAATAATAAGAAATAAATATCCGTCGTTGGCTTTTATTCTTTATCTCCTTCGAGCATCTGCAAGCGTGAGCAACTATCATCTAATTACACGTTAAATTGCATCACAATTATGCAATTTTGACGTAAATCTTGCCTTTAAATTATTGTTAGGCCCGCACCTTTGATGTGCTCTTTTACGAATCAATTACTATTCACAAAGCGTTGCATTTAATCCTGACTTTTGGTATAAGGTCGGTCATTCGAAAATGCACTGAAATTTTAATGCTGAATTCGGGCAGTTTGCATGAAAATTCGCTAAATGCCGGCGGAATACGTAAATATTTAGATGTCTCTCTTTTTAATTAATAAGAATTTAAATTTTAAAGTTCAAATTAGAAACTGCACGTTCTGAGTGAAAATATTTGTGAAACAACACTTTCAGCAACAACAATATTTTACCTACCTGGCGTCATTGTGCTTCAATTTCCTGAAAAAATATTGTTTCGGGAGTGGGAGGAAATTGATGCAAATAAATCGCATTAGGAAAATTGCTTATCGAAGGAAATGGAGACAGTTGATGCAAAACAGTTTTCTTCATTAATTTTAGAGCTAAACAAATATGTGTTTTGGCAAGAATGTGGTTCGTAAAGTGCATTATTGTTTATAGAAAAATCTCGATTTTGGATCGAGTTAGTTTAATTTAATTAATTTAACTATTTTTGCGTCTGGATTATTATTCCAGTGCGTGGATACAAATTAGCGTTTGAAAATAACTCAAATGTTTATTTAATTCGGTGCAACTCTTGCAAATGAAGTGATTTATTTTGGGAGATAATAACAAAAGCAATATCGTATAAATAATGTTATTCAATAAACTCCGATATGGAGTTTTCTACTCGGGACAGGAAGTGATTAAATATCGAACTTTTGTTTAAAACTGTGTCGTTGAAGTTTTCTCTCGTGAAAAAGTTCTCGACTTCAAATTCGCATTGTTGTTAATAGCTTTCAGAAAAATTAATTTTACTCGTGTTATCTCCTTCGATCATCACTCCGCCAACTTCCATTAATTTTCCCAGAGTGTTTATTTTTAATTGGGGTTTGCTACATTTTATTGCAAATCATTTCTCCTAGAGTCTCGTTATAAACGAGAGAAGTTCCGTGCCCAATCACTTGTAAAATGCAAATTAGTTCGCTTTTTAGCAATTGGTTTTCTACCTTCGCTTTTAATGATATCCTTGTTATGCTACATCGAGTGTTAACTTACTTTTGTAACAATGTAATTTGGAGTGAAACAGCATCGTAACTAATTAAATGTGTTGCAGATAATTAGAAATTGAATAACTTAAGTGCAGGTGGCTTTTTAGGGAAAATTTTAGACTGCACTGAATTGAATTTTCCGTGTCACTTATTATTACTCTCGATGTAATTTTCGTCAGCGAATAATCATTATTGGTCTGGCTTTGTTGCTGAAATTAGAAGTTATTTCTTTTTTTCTCCGATCAAATTATCTTTATTGCTTTACAACGTCTAATTTTCGGACGTTGCCTCTTTGAGCTTCAAAGTTTGATAATTATTCAGATCAAAGTGCTAGTTGCTGACATTAATTGGACACTACAGAACTGCAATTTAAAAAAAAATGTTTTCTGAAAGTTAATATAATTTCTGTTGGGGAAACAATGGCCAGTTAATGCCATTTTGTTACAAACAATTTGACTGTCAATTCACGCTACCAAAAAAGATTTAAGCTGTTATGAATGAATCATAAATTTAATTTATTGGCGACGACCATTTATCATCGGCATAATGATGACATCCAAAATGCAAGCGAGGCGCGTATCATGAATATCAAATAAGAGTGTTTTATTTTCAAAAAAATACGTGTACCTTGAATTTGCACGTTATTGCTTTTCAGTTTATTTAAAATCAATGCAAATACTTGGGTATTCTGTCGAAAACTGGGCGCAAATCGGTTTATTTTGAGGGTAATTGGCATTGACAGCTTTAGGTGTGAAAATTAAGTAGGTGAGGTGCACATTAACACTTGGGTTTTTCTCACTGATTGATTGAATCTTTAAACATGAAGCAAAATAAAGTTATTACTTTTTGTTTGCAATTTTCGGGTTCAGTGTAGCATCGACAAATTAGTGCTTTTCACATCAAAAATGCAATTATTGGCCTAGAGAGTTGGTGAAGTCTATTATTTACCTTTAAAGATTAATATTTTCAAAAATTTATAGGTATAGGCAATTGATAAATACTAGTGCATCGCCTAAAATTATTTTTAACTATACAGCGTGTCTTAAAAAGAAGTTACAATACATACTAGTGTTTTTTAAATAAAACACCATGTATTAAATAAAAAAAATTAACAAATTTGTTCATATTTTAATCTGGACAAGTAAAACACACTAAAAAATTCTTAGTCATAGAGTTTGTACTTTTTTTGCAGATATACAAAAAAAATCTAGCTGTATTAGTTTTTGTGTTATAAGTTTAGCTTAAAAACTTTGAAATAAAAATCTACTTTTACAAGTGCCAAAAAACATATGATATTTCATTTAAAAAACATAAGTTCATATTGTAACTTGTTTTTAGGTCACGCTGTATAGTTGAAAATAATTCGAAGTTGCATTTTTATATCGACCGCAAACACCAAGTTTAAAACTGTGTTATTTCCCATGATAAGCCGTAAACAGAATCGTCAATCATCCTAATACTCTTTTTGTAAAATAACAAAGAAATAAAAAATTAATTGTGCTGATCTTGAATTTATTTATACACTTAATGTCAATGAACCGTTCAAAAATTTGCCTTACTGAACAGTTATTTTTAGGAAAATCAGACAATAATTTTTTTACTATCTTTGTGTTGGATACCAAATTTGTGACTAACGTGTTTTTAATTAAGTACACGGTAAAAATGATTTTTATGGCCTAGACGTGGATACATTCTAATTAAATTAACTATAAAATCGTTGACTGACAATAATTTCCAGTGAAAATCGCGTCGATAAATCGCTGAAAAAAATGTGCGAATAAAAGTTGGCAATTTATGATCGTGTTTGGCAAAATTGGTTATCGAGAGGACGCAGCTTAACGATTATTAATTAGTGGCGGTTATATCGCTTCTATTTAAAGCGATTTTTGATTGATTAACCCGAGTTATAATTTGTAAAACTATCAATCGTTGCTATTTGCGCACTCGCCACGTGTATGTTTTCTTTCACCGGCGTTTGAATAGCCATAAAATTAGACAATTAACAAGTCAGTGCAATCCTGGGTCAACTGCATAAACAAAGTTATTTTAAACCGACTTGGGGACGAATAAATGACGCTAGTAAATAACGATCTGCATAAAAAGTAAGAATTATAGCGGAAACAGGAGGAAAGAATTTCTATTGTCACTAAACCGCATTATCGAAAATCCGTCTGTGACAGAGATAAATTAATTCGTGGCAAATGAAACAAAAATGTGCTCCTGTCGTGAAAAATTCACCACAATTTGAATGTTTCAAAAAGTGAGAGATTTGTTTTCCTACTTCCTGTTTTCCATTACTGTCGAAGAAATGCAATGTTCCTTTTTTCTCATCTTGAGGACGTGAGTTGTTTCATTTTTTGGTGTCTAACTTCGCAATTATGGATAGATTTGGGTCATGTCTCCTCTAATTAATATTTATTGGTGGGATAGTTGTAAATGTGTCGCAAAAAACATAATGGTAAAATATCGCTGTGATAAATTCAAAGCAAAATAGAGGCTAAATGTGCATTCATCATGAGTTTAAAACTTTTCTCTGGGGTTAGAAGATGATCCTCAAGCCGATAAATAAAATACCATTAGTCACTCAATAAAAACTTTACGATTTATCTTGTATTCATCCGGAAGCTGTTTATATTTTCCACTTTATTACATCTGACAATTACACGTTTTCTAGGATTTTCTAGGCAGGATAAACGAACCGTGCTGTTATCGCGTTTTAACTTTTTTATTTTTGAAACTGTGTTTTTCTAAATAAATACTTAAATTCAAGTTTAAAGAGAGTTTGCGTTTCTGCTCTCCCAATGTTTATAAATTAAAGCACATCATTAGCAGGCTTAAAATAGATTTTTTCAGTAATATTTCTACTCCCGCAAAAAGCTTGTAAATTAGTTTACAAGCTTTACGACACTTGAATAAGTAAATAAATCTTAAAAATTTAAGTAAAAAATAAACGCATTCTGTAAATTTTTATTCTATTTAAGGCCCGTAGACGAGACCCAAAATTTCAAAGGTTTCAAGGTTCGTACACAAAATTTCTTATGTCCTAAAATCCTAAAACGCCAGTATTTGTCCCAAAACGACAAATAGAACCTTTTTTGGTCTAGAATAGTAATTTTGACTTTTTTCAATTTTTTTAAACACAGATAATTTATTTAATTATTCTTAAGCTTTGTTATCATATTTTCTTTCTTTCATGTTTTTTTCTTCTCCCCTTTCAGTAAATCAAGTTTACTATTTTGATTTTACAGCCGCAACAGCCGTCAAGTTTTTAAATTTATCTTGAATGCAAAATTATAATTTACTTGTCAGTGGCCATAAAAAAGTCCTAAGCTATAGAAATAAGAATGAAATATTTTGTTACTTGTTTGCAATGCACATTTCTTTTTTTTAATAGCTATTTCACCTATGGAATAAGAAAACGTTAGCTGATTTGTTGGTTTTTTTTTAAAGATATATACTTTTTTTATGAAGGATGTTCTAAAAGTCGTGGTTCAGAGAAAAATTCCAAATAAGTTAAGATACCAGGAACATGGAAAAAATATTTTAACAAAAAGTAAAAATTTTGAAACTACGGGGGTTTAAATTTAGCACTTTGGGCCTATTTATTTCTGTTGGAAAAATAATTTTTCATGTTTTTTTACTGCAGGCTATTAGAAAAAAAAAACAAAGATGCTATTATTGGCAAAGTTTTTGTACTTTTACTAAATAATTATAGAAAAACATATACAAGACCATCAGTAACAACAAATAGACATAAAAAAATGCAATGTCAAAAATAAATATTTTTTCTTTACGTTTCTGATATCTTACTTGGCATTTTTCGCTGATACGCGACTTCTGGGTTAACTGAGATATTGTAAAATAAAAAAAATCATTTATTCTTTAAGATGTCATGACCTATTTTCCTATTATAATGTCCTATTTTATGTTTTAACTGTCGTTTTTTTGGATCCTTTTTTAGAATATTTTAAAGTCCTAAAATCCGGTCTCTAAATAAATAATCTAAATTTGTGGACGCATCCATTAGTCTCAAAGGTGGCAGATTTAAAAATTTGGAGTATCTGCTTCAGTGAGCAAAATTCTTTCAAAGAAATTTTTGTCTCAAAGCCTCACATTTAATTTTTTTAATTGAGTGATCAGTCTTTTACGAAACTAATAAATCACACACACGTCGTCTTTGATGCCTCCAAGAAAAAATACAAATAAGGTTATCAATTTATGTCTATTGAAGTTCCTAACGCCAGGCCATTAATTTCGGTAATCCTGGCCCACAAAAATACACATTCCATCAGTGTGTGAGACAAAGTGGGTAACGGCTTGCATATGTTGAAAATCAAATCTAATTTTTCCGTCAATTTTAGTTGTGCAACAGAAATTTTTTTAACTATTTGCGTGGTCGAGTTGGCCAACACAAGACATATGCTGTGGTGAAACAAACTGCACCAAATTAATGTTTTCAGATGAAAATTTGCACCAATTTGGCTGATAAGATGTACTTAATTAAAATTAGATTTAGCCGTGGCAATGCATGGAAATAGAACTCACTCAAATAAAAATCTTTAATTAGAATAAGAAATGATAAAAAAAGCCAGAGTACTGAGGCGAAGGCAGACCCTTGTGGGGTCATGTGAATATCCAAAATCATGCATCTTTTCATTTTATTACAGCTCTCGCTACATTTACAACTCGATGAAGCCGAGTCGGTGTTTTTTGATCAAATAGGTGACCGTTAAGGCAGGCTATTTAAATATTTTTCTCCTTTTGTTGGAACGTCTTCATCGAGAATTCATTAATCACATTTTTTCTCTGCTTCGTCATGTAATTTTTAGTAATTTATTTTGTAAAAGTGGTTGTAAACTCTGAATTAATTATTTCGAAGAGGAGGATGAGTGTATTGTCCTATTCAGTGTGTGAATTGTGAAGCGCTTTGATATCATTTATGATTTATGACAACTGCTATCAGTTGCAAACTCTTCGTGTTTAATGTCCTCGAACTGGTGTTGATGCAAGAAAGCGGTCCTAAAAGTCGCTTATTGTCCCTCGAAGGGTGAAATATTTTCCGTCTGCTAAAAATCGCACCGGGCTTTTCAATTTAACAATAAATCTTATTAACCGAGATTGTGCCACATGCTGGGTTCAATCTCCTTCATTATAGTGCAGATTGTTTGCTTTTCACCATTCCTGAATTACTTTGATTGCGCAATATCGAATCGGTATTCGCCTTGCAGATTATTGTGTACCTCAAACTTTGTTAATAACTCTTCATAATTTGGAAACTATCGCAACAAGTCGAGCCAACTTGTAAATAAATATCTCACTGCGACTGAAAGGCGAATGAATGAATGTGTGGTCATTTTTTAAGGCTTGTGAAAAATATGACAGTAATAAAAAACGTGCAGCATGAACAGGGATAGTTAAATATCCCAGTCGGTGACAGTTTTATGCTAACTGTCGCGAACTACACTGGTATTTATCTAATAGTGCGTGGACAACATGCTACTTCGCATTAAATTCCACAATAAAATGGTGAAATGTAAAATATGTGACAGAACATCGATCGCAATATCCTGAAAGAATTCATTGCGAAGCCACTCTTTTAATAAGACTAGAATTTCAAGTATTTCAGGAGATGAAAATCTGTTTCAGGTTCGAGGATGATCGGTTAATTGACGAACAAAGCAATGACAAGTGATAAAAATGACTCAATAGTCTGCATCTAAATCGACTGAATGATGAGTGGAGCCCCGATACCGGATGTCGGGCAAAGCTGGCTGAAAAGCAACTCCACTTTGGCCGGCTCTGACGTCAACTCTTCGGAACAGTTAACCACACCGACGCCGACTGATATCAACTCGTTCTATTTCTACAAGGTAAGGCCAAGCTACGAAAAAGTTTGCACTTCCCAAGTCAAAAACTTATTCTTTCAAGCTTTTACTACTTAGGAGAAAAAATAAACGGAATTGGCCGTGGTAATACAAAATTGTAATAAATAGAAAACATTTCGTTTTGAAGAAAACAAATAATGCATTTTATTCCAAAAAAAAAAGACAATGAAAATGGTATTTCTACACTTTTATTATTTTATTTTGTAATTATTTTACATTCACTTTTATTTACTATCTTTAGTTTAGCTTAAAAAACATAACTCAAAAAATATTTGTAATAACCAAAATACAAAAAAACGTCATAAGTTTTCAAGTTTTTAGTTTTAAGATATATTAGCAAAACAAATTTTTACCTACGGTTATCACGCAATGATAAGAAATAGTGCGAGATAAAAAAAATAGGGAAATTTGGAAATTTTGTTATGGTCCACGAACAAGATGTTTTAACGATTTTCTGAAAAAAAATTACCCTCAAAACAAATTAAAAAGTAACTTTATTTAATCCTCTATGTTAATGTTATCTACTCTTTTCTTCATGTTAAAATAAAATTTTATTACCAGATCTTCTTTACAAAGTAAAACGACGGACTTGCTTCACTTTTTATTTGCTTCCAACTGGAATTGAAAACTCTTAAAGAAAATTATTATGAGGTTTCTTAAGGTTATTGCGATCTTTTGCAACCAAATACACAATACTTCCTTTACTGCAAACGGAGCTTCAAGCTACATGCAATTTTGTTGTTGTTGGTTGGTGCCACTGGAAGTCAAAGCTTTCCGGCTTTTGCATCACAATGAATTGTGGTTAAAATATACATTTGTCTTGTGAACTTACAAAATGAATGAAACTTTAAACTTGTTGTTCAAAACGTTAAAAAAATTAATAAAAAAAAAATCAGTTTCTTTTTTCCTTTTTTTTATAATAAAAATGTATTTTTAAAACTCTTTTTCCTTTTGTCCTTTATTTTTTTTACTACTAGTTGTAAAAAATACTATTATTTAGTTTGTTACGAGGTGGTAAAGTTGTTTTTCTCTTTTAGTGGTCAATAATCATTTTCATTATGGATCAAGGACTAATTTACACTTTAAAATCTAGAAACAAATTTATTTATTCAATCCTCTATGTTAGAATTGAATTTTATCTACTCTTTTCTTTATGTTAAAATGGAATTTTATCGTCTAGATGATAAAGAATTCATCCATTGTTGTATATCTGCGGTTGTTAGTTGCTAACGATCTTTGACATTAGAATTCATTGTTGAATTTTACTTTGACATTTATAAATATCGACCAAATTGACTACAAAAATAGTGAGGATTGAATAAAATTCTATATTGTACACGACGATAAAATTTTCATTATCTTTTCAATTTTATCGTCTGTTTTCTCAAACCGATGTACACAAGAATTAAAGGAACAAGTGTTTCTGAACATTGTATAATCTTCATCAAAATAAAAACAACGTTTTTTTAATTTTTTCACAATTTTGCATTAGTTATTAGTTAAATCTAAAAAAATCTAAATTTTTTTTAAAAATGTTTTGATTTTTTTTGAAAATTTCTAAAAAAAATCAAGAAACAATACTGCCTAATTTTTAAGATTATCCAGCTTTTGCATATTTTAATTTTACTCATTGCAAATTAATTGTAATAATTAAAAATTGATACCTTCAAGCTGTACAGCACAAAACAAGTACAATGAGCATTGTTTCTCGGCACATACATATATCAATAGAAATTATTTAATTCTAAAACCTGAAAAGCAGAAAAATGTCGATGCACTTATGAAAAATAATTTTTGGGTTTGATTTTAATAATTAAAGGATTTTGTTTGATGACAAACATTTCTTCTGATCACAGATTATAAATATTCTCTTGTTTTTTTTTTTAATTCTTGAGATCTGGTCTATTTCTCTACAAATGCAATTCAGTTTTGCGGTCGATTTGTTTGCCGGATAAGCTAATTTACTGTCCTTTGAACAACGAAGTCTTCTATGCTTCCTGCGCCCAAACTATCCCTCCATCGAATACACTTTTTTCAGCGTCTGCTCTGGTTTTTGCAAAAAAGCTCGTCTGTAAAAATCTTTATTGAAAATGGTAGCAACATCTTCACTAGAAAAAATAAATTTCATCAATCCGTCTCAAACTTAAGACTTAAGATTAGTTTCAACTGGCAGGAAATGAATTCGAGAGCACCTTTCAGCAACTTCCGACAAAAACATTTAATAACTTGGGCTATTTACAATTAATGCAAGTCGTAAAATTTAAAGCAAACTTCAAACGAGCTTTGATCTTGAATATATTTACTTGCGAATTTATTTTTACCTTTTGCAAAAAACTGTCTCTCGGTATCGATTGATGCGTTTAATAAAGCTTCTCGCACAATCACCAATTACCGAGGTGATTTCCCATGATGGAACATTTCCGCGTGTTACCAGATGACGGTTGTGATAAAGTCGTAACTGATTAAATCAGAACTTAGCGAACATATGGTTTAACGGAAGAGCTACTCCTGAAACGCGTACATAAATTTACAACTACTGAAAATGATTGTCTCTAATTACGTTATTTCCACCTTAAAAGTGACCCGGATTATTGTGATTTGTAAGTCATTCGAGTGTTAAACCCGTTAATAACTTGCGGTTAAAACTTAACTAATATCAGGTAAATTGTAATTAAATGTAGTTTGGAGATTTGGGGGGCTGAGACGCAGTGTTATCTTTAAACCACTTAAATTCCTGGATTAATTTTTTCAGTCAAACATTCAGACTGTAATAACAGAAAGCAATAATCCAACCACTCTGGACCGCGGATTAAATGAAATAGTTTGCTGAAATGCTGAAAATTTCATATTAAACTTTCGCTATAAAACTGGAAAAAACTAATATTATGATGTCTATCGACAAGATTATGGACTTGTAATGCGTGTTCATGGTCTTAATTTATTTACCACGAAATTTGTTCACAAATTAATAGTTTTTGAATTGCCAGTTTATCGTCGTTTTATAGCTTTCCACATTCTGAAATCATCCAGGGATAATTAAATTTAAATGAACCGAATTAACACCCATTAAACAATATCGTCAATCATTTAAATTAATAATTAGGAATTTCAGTGGATTTACTATTTTTATGATTCTTTTAGATCCATTTGGAATTCTATCACCGCCACAAAATCGATGTAGATAGCATAAATTTAAACTTCAAGAACAAAATACTTTTTTTCTTTTCAGACCAAAATTTGCATCAACTTGAAAGATTCCCATGCAAAAAATAATATTTTAACAGGGGGCAATAATTTATTCAAAAATCGTCAAAATTAGTGTTATTTTATTTCCATTTGGTGTGAAAAAACTGTGACGTCCAATTTAGTAATTGCCTCTCATTTGCATTCTCTCCATCATGTGAGTGACACTGGATCAAATTATTTTCTACAATAACTGGTTTGAATAAAAAATTCTGTTCAAATTTGCGTGACGACTTGTGGAGTTTTTTATTAAGAGGAAATCAAACTCGATAAAAAGACAGTGATAGTAATTTGGGAAAATCGCGAACAATCCCCTTAACCTACTTTCTGAATCTATTAACAGAGATAACACCACCCCCTCAATGACGATATCCAAAAATATTATCTCGTGCTAATGTACTCGCCTAATAATAACAACCCACCACAGGGGACCCGTTTCCTATTAGGCATTTCGCAAAGTGCTAGAATTGAATTCAGTACAAACTGTCGTTGAATACACGAGTAACCTGATTGGACGTTGGATGATCGTATCTGTGAGATTGATTTCTGATCCCTTTCCAGCTCGATTAATAGTTGAGATTTGACCGGAAGTGACACATGTCTAATGTTCCGGAAAAAGAAACAGTTTTGCAGAGTGGTATTAAAAGAGTGATTACGGCCCGGTTTGGTTTGGCTTAATCAGTTTCGAGCAATTAATTTCAATATTTCAGCACTTGAGGCGAGAATTGCATTAAGTAAAGCCCGACTTGGAACCGTCAATGGACTTTAATTAAAAATGGGATTGAGTCAATTCCATCGGATTTTCGCCACGTTTAAGTGCATAAATTGCATCTCCCCGAATGTGCCATTGTGCTCGCTCTTTTTACCATTTCCTCATTCATTTCGCCCGAGGGATTCGTATCTGGTCACACTTAAGCTTCCGACAGAGATTGTATGGTTGGTTCTCTTTTTACTGGAATTCCACGTTTTTCACGCTTCACGTGGAAATTACTCCCAGATTTGTTCAACTAATTATTACAAAAAATTCTATTTGAATACTACTAAGCTCGACTTATCTTCGTCATCAATTGGATTATAATATAAATGTGGTTTTTAAACAAATTTTTGTACACTTATCGTTAATGTAAACAATCTAAATTCCAGCGGGTCCATCACATAGGCTTAAAAGCGACATTTTGATTATAAGGTGTATTAAATTAAACGGATTTTGCAATTAGAAACCTGTTTTACAGTTAGCTTTAAAACGCCGTCGTCTCAAAACTCTGACACAAGACCATTTGTGTCAAAAGTGACCACCTAATTGCCCCACACGAAAATTTTATTACCACCCATTATGCGGCAGAGCTTATAGCCATATAAATTAAAGAAATTTAACACTTTTCCTTACACATATTGAATATTTTAAAAAATTTGTCAGTGTTATTCACTATAATTGTTGTTTAAAAATTGTTATTAAAATTAACTACACTTAATTTTGATATAAAACAGAAAACTGCAATATGAACAAAACATTTTGCAAATTTAAAAAAAAAATGCTTTGTGTTAAATTTTTATTGCATTGTTAACTTTAATAGCAGAAAAGTCAATTTTTGGTAAATAGACACTATCGTTTGATGTAAAAAACTTTTTTGTTACAGAATTTGATCTACATTATGTTTTGGAAATTTTAAAACATCCTATTTTTGTAGAGTGCTTTTTATGCGACAAATAAAACTAAAAGTTATTAAGAAAAGTTGTTTAGA